TAAGATGAACAGTTTGTTTGGAAGCCGGCGAGTGATTGCGTTTGTGATAAAGTTCTTTAGTATAATCAGTGGCTGATGTCAGTGTTTAGATAATGAACTCCTTGAGGCCCAGCAGACCTGGGTTCACCCTGTCGGGGATCGTAGCTGCACACTGAGAGTCTGATTGGACGTTACCTCGACACTGTGCATCCAGATCGAACAGAACAAAGTATGCGACTTAATTGCAGCCATGGTGGGCGGCGTGCTCGGAGACAGAGGGAGAGATGGGAGCAGACAGATCGCCAGAGCGCTGTTTGAAATTGGATTCATGCCTCCGGTGATCTCTCTCCTCCTTCATCCTGTCCTCGCTGCTCTTTACCCGCTTTGTTTCAGTCTTTTATCCTCTCCTTCTCTTCCTCTCTCGTTGGGTCGCTCTCTTCCCCTCATGTCATATTTATAATGCGCTTGCCTGCAGGGCATTTTTCTATAACCTGACCTTGCCACAATGCGAGTGTAGGACACGATTATAGTGATGCAGCCACTCGGTGTGTGTGTGTGTGTGTGTTGGCATGCCGGCCTCTCAGCCTTTCTTAGCATCCGGCTGCAGGCGTTGTGCAACAGCTGCATGGAGAATGACCAGGGCTGCTCTGACAGGGAGAGGCTGTACATTTATATTTTAACACAAACATGTGCACACACACACAGACACACACACACATGTTTGATCAGTGCACACAGATGCAGCAGTCATTTAATAATTCACAGCACACCAAGGAGCTCCCTTCAAACTGCTGTCACATTTGAAAATACATGTAAAAAGTAAATTAAATCTGTGGTTCTGTGAAATAATAGACCAGACACTCGGCAGACAAACATGGTGAGGTTCTTTTTAATGTATGAAGTTATTAATTTATTGCAGTGCACGTGATCTGTAGCTCTGATTCCAATCAGAGAGCTTATTTAACCAGTCCAGAAGCAGCAGAGGCCGTCCTTCTCTCTGCCGGCTGCCGGGCTATTTCTGTCTCCTGATGTCACCGTCGCTGCTACGCCAGGAATCCTGGGAACAGCTCTCAGCATGGAGGGATAGATTTTACTGTACAGGAAGGGAGGAACGAAGGTTGGAGGAGGCAAGGAAAGTAGAAAGTAGTAGCTGAGGGAACT